GTGGCCTGTGCAGAGAGCCCCTCACTGGAGCAGGTTCCTGGCAGGAGCTGTGGCCTGTGCCGAGAGCCCCTCACTGGAGCAGGCTCCTGGCAGGAGCTGTGGCCTGTGCCGAGAGCCCCTCACTGGAGCAGGCTCCTGGCAGGAGCTGTGGCCTGTGCAGAGAGCCCCTCACTGGAGCAGGCTCCTGGTAGAACCCATAGACGAGGGATCCATGTTGGAACAGCCATTCATGAAAGGCTGCAGCCTGTGGAAAGGATCCACGCTGGAGCAGCTCAAGAAGAACTGCAGAGAAGGACTCATGTTGGAGAGGTTCAAGGAACGCTGTCTCCCACGACTATTCTACTCTGATTTAGGTTCTAATAAATTAAACACATTTCCCCAAGTCCTATCTGCACACGATGGTAATCAGTGAGTGATCTCTCCCAGCCCTTATCGCGACTCACAAGCCTTTTGTTACATTCTCTCTCCCCTATCCAGCTGAAGAAAGGAGCAACAGGGCGGCTTTGGTGGACATCTGGTGTCCAGGCAGGATTAACCCACAATAAAAGTCAAAGCCTTCTTGGCAGCCGGACAACATAGTAACAATGCTGTGAAAAATCCTTGAAATCGGATTCCACAAGTTAAGAAGTAAGTAAGGGAATTGACAAAGGTTGGTGTACATATTAGAACATTGTGAGTAAAGTCTCCAGAGACCTGAAGCATCAGTTCATTTGGGGTTTAAAAAGCCTGTTGGTTTGCTGTTGTTTAAAGTCTTGGTTTGTTTGGACACACACATTCAAGGAAGGCCCAAACTCCTGTGTCTCTCAGAGACAGCACTGTTTCATGACCTTATTTGCAGGTATTTTGCCCAGGACTTCTTTAGCCACTGATAGAAGGTGAAAAAATATTTGAAAGTGAGATGGGAGGAAAACTCTCAGATGTATTTCAGGTAATTCTGGCTGGACAACACTGGAAGCAGTGTGCCCACAAGAGCCACCTACCCTCAGCCATACAACGATGTCAGATGAGAGATCAGCACAAATTTGGGCAGCTCCCTACTTACTTGAGTGTTACCAGGAGAGCCTTTTTGTCTGAGGAAGCCAGTTTTACTTTAAGAGTTTAGCAGCAAAAAAACACTTTAAATGTTGCTGGTGGAATGGGAAAACATTAAGGGCCTCCAAGGTAATGGGAAAGACATGGAAATCTATGCTGAAATTCTGGCTGCTGAGAAAATGGGTGAAAACAGTCAAGAAGTTTTCAAGCCACAGAAAAAAATATCTGTGGCTTGAAATTTGAAGGATTTTGCAAATTATTTTCCAGATGAAATATATCAGGCTCAGTAGTACAGCATTTTAAATAGAGCTGGTTTGTCTGTACAGTTCTGAACTGTTCTATTTGAAATACAGCACGGACAGAGCACAGCCCTGCCTTCCAGTGTGCAGTAGGCATTTGACTCATGATGTTCAATTTCCTTTAGAAACAGACCTTCTGTAAGAAATGCACATGCAGAACTACCTGCTCTGTTGCAGTGTCACAGAAAGGACACAAACAGAATGAACGCTGTACCCTGCACTAGCACACCCTGAGTAATAGAGGTCTTAATTTCAATGACAGGTGACTGCAGAAAATGTTTTTTGAGCTTGGTTTTAGCCTCAACATTAGGCTGTTAGCATTTGTCATGGATTTACTGGGATTTCTTCCAAAAAATCTCCATCAACCATGTTTTCTTTCATCAGAAATTTTACTGGAAGTCTGCCTGCTCTAGGTTCATCTTCAATGGTGTATTTATTACATGAAATGGAAACAGTAGCTGAAATTTAGGAAATCAATTCAGAACTTCCAGTAACTGAAAAAACAATTAACATGCTGAAAAATACTACTGGCAAATGAAACTGGAAGTTTAATCCTGATCTTCCCTATCCTGTCTGTCGTATTTTTTCATTGAAAAACACATTGCTAACAAGTTTGCTACTGCTGTGGAACTGTGGGGAGTGGCTGATCCACCTGAAGGCTGTGCTGCCATTCAACAAAACCTTGATAGAGGGGAGAGTTGGGCAGGGAGAAACTCAGTGGGGTTCAAAAAGAGCCAGTGCAGGATCCTGCTGGGGAGGAATAACCCCAAGCACAGACTGGGGTCTGATCTGCTGGAGAGCAGCTCTGCTTAGAAGGACCTGGGAGTTTTGGTGGGTGACAGGTTGCCCATGAGCCAGCAGGGTTCCCTGGCAGCCAGGAGGGCCCATGGAATCCTGGGATCCATTGGAAAGAGTCTGGCAGTTCTGGGCTCCTCAGTACACGAAAAGCAAGGAGCTGCTGGAGAGGGTCCAGCAGAGGCCACAAAGATGATTAAAGGACTGGAGCATCTCTGTTGTGAGGACAGACTCTGCAGGCTGGGCTTGCTTAGTCTGGAGAAGAGCAGACTGAGAATGGATCTCACCAATGCATATAAATATCTCAAAGCCAGTACCAAGAGGATGGTGCCAGACTCCTTTCAGTGGTGCCCAGTGACAGGACAAAGAGCAATGGCCATAAACTAGAACACAGGAAATGCTACCTCAACACATGGAAGAACTTTTTTACATAGAGGATGGGAGAGCACTGGAACAGCTGCCCAAGGAGTTGGTGGACTTTCCCTCTCTGGAGACATTCAAACCCACCTGGATGTGTTCCTGTGCCACCTGCTCCAGGTGACCCTGCCTTGGCCAGGGGGGTTGGACTGGATGGTCTCCAGATATTACTTTCAACACTAAAACTTCTGTGATTCTACTGGATAATCTACACCTTACATTTATGCACAACCCAAGAATCAAACTACATACAAATAATGATTTCCCTTGTATTTAATAACTAGCTGTTCCGAAGCAAGTTATAAAGCAAAGCCATTGACTCTGCCTCTGCAACACAGGGCAGCATGATACTGAACCAGTTCTGATATTACTTCTTCACTGTAATGTCAAGTACAGCTACCACTCAGATCTGAGTTTGGAAGTAGTAAAATCATACGTGCAGTGGAAGAGCTCTGGTTACTGGGTGCAGTGATGCCTGCAGGCCCAAGGATGCAGCTCTACACCACACTACTCTACTTGTTCTGTGGTTGACACTGGAAAAGATGGATTAGATCTATTCTAAACAAATAGCACAGACATAACTTCAACAGCTTTTCTTAGTGCAATATCTTTTCAGGAACAGAACTAGTTACAATGACAGCCATTATCACCAGATTACACCATTATCTGTAAAAACACCCAAGTGTACAGAAGAACCACTGCATTTTTGTTCACACAAAAGGCACACCAGCATACGGGAGCACACCAGATTTTTCTCTCTAATTCATTAGCAAACTTATAATTCAGTGACGTCTCACCCTCATAGACATTTCTCATATGCATGTAACTTTGACTTTTTATACAAGACATTAAAAAATTGTGTAGCCAAATTGTGTAGCTTCATACCTGTGTTATAAATGGGAACCCAGTGGTAGAATTCATTCTGGTAGGGAACTGTATCAAACTCACTGCACTGCATCTGACGGAAGGTCGGCAAGTCCTTGTGGCAGGGGCTGATGTTACACATGCGATAGCGCTTCCTCTCTCCAGTGCAGTAGTCTCCTCCAAATTGGGGTCTAGAAAAGGAACATGAGACTGGGACATGAGACCATGGGTAAAAAAAAAAAGTTTTAAACCAAAAACATCTTTCAGGGCCCCATTAGCACCACAAGGTGAGTCTGAATCCTTGACAGGGTAGAGATACTGTTCACATCACATATTTGAGTACTCAAACATGTCAGTATGAAGCACAGAGATTTAAACAACTCCTGTATCCCAAAAAAGTGCTTGGCAATACCTGGCTGAGCTCACAGCAAATTAACCTATCAAATGGACTGCTTTGAATCCCACACTTTGCAGTGCACTTGACAGCTCTCTCTGAAAAGACAAATTATTCCTGGCATTAGTGACTTGTGAAAATGAGATGTGGAGTCTTCATGAACTCAGATATGTAGTGGGGAATTCTGCCTTTCATGTTCCATACCTGACAACTCATGTGTATGAAGCTCAAACAAAGCTGATGACTAGAAGAAAACACGAAAGGTGAGTCCTCAGGATCAGATTGCTAGAAACTGTTCTCACCTGGTGTTTGACAACATTTATTTACTCATTGCAGTATTAATAAAGCAATATTTACACTATTTCTGCAAAGCCTAAATGTTAAGTATGTTTTTTTAAATTCATTTTGCATTGAAATAAGCTCTGTGGAGGGTAAGAAATAAAGAACAAGATGACTGTGAAAGATGAGCCAGCTGAATTTCACACAGGTATGCCTAGCTGGGAAGAGAGGTGTCAGTATCTGTGGTGTCTTGATGTGGCACATGCTGATAACAGTCTCATACAAGAGAGTTTCAAGTTTCCAATGTCATAAGAACCTCAAAAATCTTAAAGAAAAAATAGGGAAAGATAGTGCACTCAGCTTACTCTGGATTATCACACAGCCTCTCTGCACTTTGAACTCCTGCCCCACATGTCCTTGTGCAATGGGACCAGGATGACCAAACGCCCCACTCGCCATGGATTGCTTCGGGAGTCTTCCCCACTGTAATGCACTCACCAGAGAAGCACCACTGAGGGGAGAAAAGAAAGCACAGAGAGCTTCAGATCATCATCACAGGGAAATCATGATTTTTTTTAGTTTCTGTGAATTATTTTTTATTTCAGCTCATAAGAGTTGAACACTTAAGTGGAAATGTAAATGGAGATGTCACAGGATGACCCTCCTTCACAGTCAGCAATAACAAAGCTACTTATAGCTTGTCTCTGCACTTTGGCAGGCAGCACTGCTTGCAGAGTGTGGCTCACAGTCACCTTGTTTTCTCCACACCGAGTGCCATCCGCAGCTGCATCCAGTTTGGAGCGGCAGGAGCCTTTCACTGAGCACCAGAGGGTCTGGCAAAGGTTCTGAAAAAGGAAGAAAACTGCAGCAGTCTGAGGCAGGGCAGAACTCCTATGGCCAAGATTTTCAAAAGCTTCCCAGAGTTTTTTACAGCCACTTAAAAAGTCTTGTAAGGGTTGTATTTCCAGAGGGGTACGAGTTTTTCACAAGATAGGAACTACCAAGGGTCCAAATTTAGCTACTCATTACTGTGCAAAAAGGGACTATTTGAAAAATTAAAAAATATTGTAAATACTATCAAGTGAATTCTCTGCACTATGTGACTTCAAATATTCTCCTAATTGGCTGCTCAGCTCCTAGAAAAACATAATGGCTTAACAAACTTTGGTCACTGCTGTTTGCAGATAAGGTGAACAGAAAATTGAAAAATTTTCATTTGACGAGTACTAACCAATACCATCTTCAATTCTGCATTGCTGTCTGCCTGGAAACATACAGTGAAATCAAAGGTTACAGGAGCCAGGCAGGCAAATACAACCAACAGCATGTCTCCAACAATATTAATGGAGGTCCCAAAACTACATGAGGAAAAAGTGATCAGACTTCTTAAAACATCAGCTTGGCAGATGGCAAGGAAATGATCAGAAAAAAAATGCAGCCAGCTAGTTGGCAGAGAAAAAAGCATAGTGGGCTGGGAAGAGTAAAGGCTCTGGTTAGTGAATGTTTGCATTTTAAGTAACTCAGAAACTGGTGCCAGTTTAATGCAGTAGGTTGCCAATAAAACACAGCATTCCAGATGCTGCTCCGTGTGCAGTGGCTCCACAGAACAAACAGAAACTCCTGAGAGGCAACAAAGAAAGCAGGGCAAGAAACATTCCAGCTACCTTTTACCAAACCCACTTCCCTCAGCCAGAACTATTCTCCAGAAAGGGAGCACAGAGCTGGAGGCCATTTCTCCCTCTTCAGTTCACATGCACACCAGCTTTCCTTTGTTTGACATGCAGGAACCCTGCATGCTTGGAACTCCTGACTAATCAGGGCTTTGCATTAAACACCACTTCCAAGGCAGAGAAAGCAGGGCTCTCAGGGAGAATGCATGCTGCCAACAGGAACAACAGAAGCAAAAGCCCAGGTTTTGACTCAGGCTGTTTGGATGTCATAGTCCAGTTCTGGAAAAGGGAACACAACTGGCAGCATCAACCTGTGAAGAAGGGATGGCTCCAAATGCCATCACAGAAAAGAGTTGATAAGAAGGATCCCACTAGCAGCTCCCACTGGGATGGGGAGGCCACATTCCAGATGTAGAAGTTAACATATAAACTGCACGCTTCCAAAAATGCAGCCCCAATGAGCTAGCAGCAATGTTCATCCAAGTGGGAAATGCAGAGTTTGGCTGCCCATTTCTGACCTGCTTCTGTTTAAAATGGCTAAGCTTGGGCACAAGCTTTGAGAGAGTTCACTTTCATTTACTTCCTCCATTGTGCGTTTACCTTGATTTGTCAACAAGAACACCACAAAAAAGCTGATGGCATGGAACATCTCAAAGCGCTCCAGCCCTCCAGCTGGAATGCAATGCCTGGATCACTTGGGCATCTTGGTTCACTGTTTCTGGGCAATGTACACAGAACAAACTTTGTTTTGCAGTTCTCTGTTTATACCTCAAGGGTAGCATTCCTTATGAAGGCCTTGTGAAGCCATCATTGCCAGGTTCTTAAGGCAGAGCTACCCAATTCTGGCTGATGAATTTTCTCTCATTATCAGAGTCATCCTTTATTTAAACTCTTGTACATGGAATATATTTTGTGGTTTTAGTGTATAAAGTGTATTTTGTGGTTTTAGTGTATAAAGTGTACTCTTGCATCATCCTCAGACAATATCAGAGAAACTGGCACAGAGAAACACAGCTTTTCATTGGCAGTTACTTTTATTATTAGGTGCACCCACAGATTTCAAAGTCAAGAATTCACAAAGGGAATTCTTTAGCTTTGCAAGGATTTTTCCATATGTATCTCCATACCCCATAACTGTTTTTTGCCTCTAAGAATACTGAAACAACAGCAGAAGAGAAGCACTACAATATGAAAAAGAACAATATGAGAGGATGCACTATGTACTGCGTGCCTTTGGAGGGAACACACAGAAATTCATGACTCTGCTATGGACTCACTGCAAAGCAAATAAGTTTTCTCCTCATCAGCAGTATGATATACACTTTCCACCCAATCTATGAAAATAGGGTCTGTGCCTTGAAGAAAGTTGAATCCAAAAAAACCCCTCTGTTTCATGGAAGCCAATGGCATTTTTAGAGAAAAAGGGATTAAGATGAGTATTCTGATATCCTACAGGCTGTTCTACAGAAAGCTATGGGTCTAGCTATGACTGGGAAAATTCCTCCATCTAATACATATTTTGCTTTTCTTTGCCTTATTAGAGGGACAATACTTGTATACTTCACAGGACAGTTGTGCTGCCAAAGTGCTTCATGAAAACCACTATATGAATTATAAATACTAGCTTTTTCTAAGTGAACTCTAGGGCATCTTCAGCTAAATGCATATTGTTCTCTCAAAAAGGATTTGTGGATCAAATTCAGTCAGACATTAAAATGTACAAAACAAAAGCAGCTTGTCTGTGAGCAAGGCCAAGTAAATAGAGGAAAGGGAAAAAAGAGTCAGACCTCTTAGACAAAATGACAAAAAGACTGATGATTCAACATCCCAGGTTGACCCTACTGTTCCCAATTCCATCTCCTGCCAGTGCAACTACCAGCAAAATAGAGACCTTTCAGTAAAATGCAAAACGAGAGGATACCAATTAATTTTCTGACATATGTCCAGCTGTAAAATTGGTTAATCAGGAGATGTGAATGTAAAGGCCTATTAGGTTCAAATTCAAGGAGAGACAGACTGGGCCAGTACTGCAAAATTACATCCTAATTTTCTATCTGTACCAACAGACAAATTACAGTAACTAAGGAAACTGTAACAGCAGGTAATGAAAGCAATCTTTCAGTACCTTCTTCAGATTCAGCAGTTGTAGTTCAACACTGGTAATCATGTTATCTATTAAGGTTGAAAAGATTAATCAGAAATAATTTCTCTAAGAGAAGGGTAGATGGAGATACACACAATTATCTGAATGGAATAAACAGTCAACATCAGCAGTGCCCAGTCCAGAGCTGTGTTCATACCAGCACTGCCAACAGCCAGAACACATCTGTGTTTGACAGGGCCAGTAGGCTGGGTGCTGTCTCCAGCATTTATTCAACATTGCTGCTCAAAACACAGGAAAATTAGTGATCATTTAGCTAGGCTAGCACTTGGGAACATCGCTGCTGAGCTGTTCTATGTATAAATATGCTGTGTTGGAGTGCAGGAAATAGAAACCTCTCTGAGTCCCTCAAAGAAAAAAGAAATGCAAGGTTTGAATTATAATCCCTAGAGAAGCTGAAATATATTAAGCCACACAGACATGAAACAGAAGTGTAAGTTTTAATTTTAAGTAAGTAAAAATATATTTCAAGTGCCTTAAGAGACTGTGTTAGCTAGTAAAAGACCCTAAAGCCTAGTTTAACTTAGGTCCAGGCATAACAAAAACATAGCAGAACATTGCGTTTGTTTCTAGATAGAACAGATAGAACTACTCATGTAAATAGGTGAAATTATATACGTAGTTTTTGGGTAAGGAAACAGGTAGTATGTTTTGCGTAAATAGATAAAATCATATACATAGATTTTGGGTAAGAACTGACACCACTTTCACACATTAGAATTAAGCTCAGACTGGTGTAAGAAAAATGTTTTAGAATCATGCTTTTAGCTGATTGGATCATTTATGAAAAAAATCCCTTGTATTGGAGTGAGAAAGAAGAAGGAAGAAGAAAAAAGGTGTGGGAGCTGCTGCTGTTGCTGCTGCTGTTTTTGCTCAAAACATCTTTGGCCAGAAAGCTTTCAGCATGGACTTTAGCACTCTGAGCCCCTTGCCTTCCAGACTGATGCACTCACGCAAAAAATCAGCTTCACTACAACCAGCAACTGCCCTGTCTCTTTGAATTCACAGCACCCACGATAACCTCGACAATGTGAAGACCCAAAGACCTCGGAACATTATTCTAGTACCATTATTCAAGGAAAATACCATACCACTGTATTTTAGCTAATACAACCTGTTACTCTGCAGGGCTCCACAATCTTGTGAGGGTTGCTGTGACTGCACTTCTCCCTTGCATCTGCTCACAATACTGCTTTGCTGTGCTGTGAGACAGACCTCAGGGCACTCTATGAATTATACACTTCTGCATAAATATCTAATGCTCCATGCAAAAATATTGGTTTTCAAAGTAAGTATTTTCCACAGGGACTGAAATATTCTTTTGTTTTTTAGATCATAAAGAGTATGAAAATCAGGATGTATGGGAAGAGAACAGAACCCTAATTTCTTCAGAAAACTCTTCCTGGAACTGAAGATTTGTTCCCAGAATTATTAGATCAATTGAAAGCCACAAGGTTGAAGAATATTTTAAAATTGGACTTAAGTTGGATTAACAATTTACCTTAGAATTAGTATTACAAGTTTAAAACCAAAACGACTCCACTGCAGAAGGAGGACAGGCACTTAACCATAGATATGGCTGAGATACAGCAAATATTTTGTGAAATACAATGCAAACAGTTTAATAACTCATTTCCAGAATATGCAGAATTAAGTGTGTTAGGCAATGCCTGCACTGCACTAGCCTATGAGACTCTAAACACACTGCATTTGTAAATGAGGTGCACTGAATACACTTCCATGCAGCTCAAGAATTTTGAATTCTTACTAGGAAAATGAAGAAAAACATTCAGCACTTACATCCACGTCTTCACAGAATGTAGCATTGGAACCATACTGAAGCTGGCATTGGTGGTGCACATCATAAATCACTCCAGGAGCAATGATTGGGGACTTTAGAACTTCTTTTTGGGGGATGTCATCCAGACAGAATCCCCACCCACGACTAAAAGACAAAAATTCCATATTAAAAAACTCCCTACCACCACAGTTTTTTGATGTTTCTATACAGACTTTTAGTATATATTTCTTAGGGGTAATTTTGATCGGCCCATGTAAATAATACTTCCAGATTCCAGCCAAGTTAGGCTGAAATGCTGCAAACAAAGTAGTTACTCTGTCTAGCAAGAGACAGTTTTAAAATGGCAAAATACAGCTTGTCAAAGAGGAAACACCATGAGCTCAGTATGGTTTGCAGAGTGGCTTCAGAGAACCCCGTACTCTGCAGTTAAAGCTGCACCACATTAAGCTGGTCTTAAAAAGAATGGAACAGATTTGAACAAGTCAGTGAAGCCAAACACATGGCACTGTGGCCAAAGGCAAAGTCCATGGTGCTCTGTTAGGGCCCTTGATGGAAAGGCTTCCTTCTCCTGGTAACTGCAAAAAGCTGCAGATTGCACCAAACCCGAGCCAATACGACAGGACTTGAGTTCACTTCCAGAGTAAAAGACTACACTGAGCTTTTCCCAAATAAGTGAGCAACAGGACAGTGGTATGTCCCCCATGGAAAATAACTCAAGCACACTAAGACGTCCTAAAATAATCAATGCAATAATACAATATATACTTTGAACTCCAGCACAGTTGTGCTCAATTTAGGCAAATGCTGCAACCTGACCACTCACTCTAGGAACCGTGTGATGTACTCCTTGCTGCACTGGGACCAGGTGAGGGGAGTGGGATCGTACTGCAGCTGTCGGGACATGATGTACGGGCGTTTTCCAGCAGGCTCACAGTCATTCTCCTTTCCATCGTGCTGGATTCCAAAACTGGAGGTAAAAAACAACATCTAGTCATTCCAGCTGACTGGCTGTACCACAACACCTACCTAGAGGTTCCACTCTGTGCTTAAAAAGACACTTACGTTGCTTCCTCCCCTGCAGAGATGTAGCTACCTGTTTGCTAAAAGAAAATGTACACACAGAACATACAACCCAAAATCTATGAAAAATCTGCACCCCTACAGGCTTTCAAACATGTCTGCTATGCACAACAATACTGCCCTGCACAAAATAAAGAACATGCTGTCACAGACTATACTTCTGTACTTTTAAAGGAGTCCAAATACTAGTGCACAGCTAGGGCAGAAATTAAAGTTTAAACCTAAAAGTTAGGTAACAGCTGTTAGAGCTAAGACTGCTCCCTAACTCTTGAACCCAAACTTGCACCACCTTAACTAAGATGAGGCTTTGTTACATTCTGTCTTAGACTCTCTCATAATAATATCTCTACTGCTTTTTTCATTTCTAAAACTTTTGACAGACTGCACCAGAGACACTGTCTACAAAATTATTGAATGTTCAGTGAATTTTTCTCCAACCTCAATTCCTCCATCCCATTTAATTTGCCCAATCTATGTAAGCGGATCTCCACAGCAGGTTCTCTCCAGCATCTCTGACTTGTTGAGAAATTCTTTTATTCAAGAGCTTGGAGAAGTCATGAACACAAAAGTTTGGATGGTATTCAACTGAGTAAACACACATGCCCCTTCACCACCTCAGAGTGAGCATTATCGCACAATATAAATAATAACATACATAGATATTGATATATGAAGATGTTGACACCTACATTGTTAACATCTGGAGTGTGTAAGTCCAGAAAGCAGTGAGAGCTTTCTCAGGTCATGATTCAGTCATGAATCAGATAAAGTGTGTTCAAAATACTTAAGACCACGTTTCTCAAAAATATAATCATATCATGACTCAAAAGTTCTGAAAGCGGAGCTAATTTCAGTCAGAACCAATTCCAGTTATGATTCAGAAGCACAAATGCACAGATCTCCCCTTTCTGACAGGCTCTTTTCCACAAACAGGGTCTGTTGAATCCTAAGGCTGTAAACATCTAGACAGACAGTGTGGGGAAGAGCTGACTTTTGGCATTCATCCAAGGTATGGGAGCATGTCTGTCTTCTTATTTGTTGCTCATCTGTTCTTACAAACTTGTCCATACCTGAACTTCTCAACGTGTGCACACTAGCCTGGCTTGAGGTCAACAGGGTGACAACAAACCCTGCAGTATTCAACATCCCTTATGGAGCCGGTCCTTAAGGAAAGGCCCTGCACCACTCCTGCAAGGGCAAGCACAGCAGTACTGAGCCCCACAGCCCCCAAAGGACAGAGCCACCAGCCAGCCAGGATACACAAGGAGAAGGTCACAGATGGATCAGGCTGTGGGGAATGAGTCTCCTCAGATCATTAGTGTGAGTGAAAACAGTTCCTGCCAGCAACAGGCTATGGGGACCAAGTGACAAACCCACAGCACCCAGACACAATTGGAGTGATTTCATAATTATTTATTTATTCAATTTCCTTTCTGACAGTGGTGAGGTTGAATAAATGGTGGCCAATTAATGGTCATCATGGTCAATACCATCATCATCATCATCATCATTATTATATCCTATAAGGAAACAGAGACTCCATCCTGATTGGTGGCTGGTGCACAGTGAAATTAAAGTCATTGACGATAAAGCAATGAACATGTGACTTAGCCAAGCAACAGAGTCCAGTTGAAAAGTGCAGGCATTACAGTCAGACCAGAGTGTCCATGAGATAATGCTCTGCCCTGAGGAAAACAGCTATGTCAAAACAATTTTAAAAATCAGGGTTTTTTCAAGTGAATTAATAAACCATCTAACCAATCAAAACACCTCCAAAAATATAAAATTCTAAGAAATTTAGTTCAAACAGAAATACCCAATCGTTAAAAAAAAAAAACATATCTAAAATGAAATATCCAGGAACTTTATTTATCTTAGTCTAAGTGTACCCACAATAGCATTATTATATAGAAAATACCACTTACTAAGAAATACCCTAAAAGACTTTACTGGTTCATTAAAAAAAAAGGATATAACAAATATTAAATATGTGATAAGATTAATACATAATAGTTTTTCTATAGCAGTTAAATATGTTTTCTAGCTAATCTGCACTACTGAAACACCTTGACATAGTGAGACAGGTTTGTTTTCTGTAAACATTTTTTGGATAATGTTTTTTTATCTCTCTGTAAATGTTTTTTTTAGATAATCTGGAGATTATCTAATGTAATTGCATAGAAATCTAGCATGTGTTTGGAAAAGTTAGCACGATTGAGTGATGCTATTTCATTCTGATGAATAGCTGTATATGTAAAACACACATCAAAGGCTTAAGAATTTTTTTCTGCTTTGAAATAAATTTTGATTTTAATAATAGAGACATTAACTCACTTTTTGTTTCGTTTCTGCCTCACAATTTGAGTATTAACATGCAAATAACAAATTTGACTCAGACAGGTTCCCCCTTCCCTGTCAACTGTACCTGTGTCCAAGCTCATGAGCGATAGTGAAAGCCAAGGGGAGGCCAGAGTCCTCATTGATGTTGCAGCTCCGGTGAGGCTGACACATGCCTGACAGGTGGGACAAGCCTAAGGTTTCACAGGGACGGTTCATGCCAGCACAAATGTCCTTTCTAGAATCACAGAAGAGATGCACCATTTAAAGAGCTTAAAACCACCTGTGGAGCATCACTGACACTGGGTAGCAAGCTTCCATCTTATAATGTGCTAATTTTCATCTTGAGTAAATCACAGTGGTAAGTCTTTTACAAACATGTATGGAACAACATGCACTTTTTCTACTACTATATTATACTGTTATAATTTGCAGCCAGTACTTTTGTAGCTGTAGTGCCTAGACACATACACTCATTACCAACTCCCATAAACCAAAGTTTTAGAACCTCCATGTCTGGCAGCATTTTAAAGCACAGTTTACTAAAGCCACCACAGCTCAGCCTCATTCAAGTGAGCTGTCTGAGTGCTTTATATTTGGACAGTGAAATCTCACATCATTGAGAGACTTTATCTCACATTCTTATTTTAAGATTTTTGACTGAGAAAAGGTTGAGAAGGTGGGGAATGGTCAAAGGGTGCACTTGATCACTTGATGATCTTGGAGTTCTCTTCCAACCTAAGATTCTGTGACTCTTTTTTACTGAGTCGCTTGAGGGGTGTTTTAGGTTGGTTTTTTTTGCCTGATAGAGTTTAGCCAAGGGCTGTTTTTTTTAGACCACAGACTCAATCTTTTCTATATAAATTTTTACTGACCTGGAGAGGTCTCATTTCATGCTATGACATAAACTTCCTGCATAACCTCAGATAACCTCACTTTCAAGTTTTCTGTTCCTCCTGTGCTCAGACAATAAAAATTATTTTGTGTCTCCTTAAATATGGAGGTATTTAAAACTCATATGTTTTAAAGTTTAAAAATGAATGGCAGCCTCTTTGAATAATACCTGTCCTTTCAGAGCTGCACCTGCACATTTCTTCAGGAGTTGTTCATCTGCATGCTACCTTGTTATGATATATTGTGCCAAAGGAGAATAGAGCAGTCACTGAGCACAAAATGAAATAGGATCAAGGGGGGAAAATGACCCGAGCTGTGGAAATTGTTCACCTCTTGGGACCCACAAATCTCTGTTTTGTGACTAAGATGCATCTCTTCTAACCTGTATGCACGTGTGGCATCACCAACATTTCGATCACGTTTCTGAGCTCTGTGCAGGATGAACTAAGTGATGGCTGGAGCCTATAAAGGAAATATCCTTACCAAAGAAATGCAACTGAACTGCAGCCAGTCACTACTGTCATACCTGGTAAGAAGCACAGCCACATCATGGTGTGTGGGGTTGACATCACTCTTGGGATTGACACTCTTCTGCCACTTGCAGAAGCTGGCTAATGTCTTATCAGCATGGTGCACTATCTTCAGGCCTTGCTAATGGGAAATGAAGGAATATATTACCGTAAAGACCACACTGCACTGCACTAACACTTCACTGAAGTCAGCTGTGATGATGGGTAATCTAGATGTAACTGATATGCTTTTGCCTGAAGTTAGAGCCATCATTAGGAGCAATGACACCTATTTATCTAACATTGAATATTAAGTTACAATGATGACATTCCTGTAATTGGTGCAGCTAAAGGAAAAATTACAGAATGCAGAACTCTACATACATTTTGATAAATGAGCTTCATAAGATCCAACATAGAACTGAAACTTTCAAACATTTTATATTCTCTTGAAATCAAATTTTCCTCTGAAGAGGAGGTGAACATTACTTATTGTGGGGCTTTGTGATCAAATTTGTCACTCAATGTTATGTGAACACTGTCATATTCAGACAACAATTATGCTTCTAACAGACTATTCATTTCACAATATTTTTCAATTCCAAAGAGAAACAATGCAGTCATAGAAGTTTCTTCCTCAACTTTTCGTTATACGGTTTACATGCAAATTACTGAAAACCTTAATTAAAAAGTATGGAAAATTAATTAATCCAAAATTGAATTTTCTGATTTCTGGTCTTGGACATTCACTTTATCTTCCCTCAGTTTGCTTTGTTTTTAACAAGCATCAAAGTATGGGATTAAGTGTTACCAGACAGTAATTTCTGGGGAACCAAAACCCAACATTGTCATTCCTCAACAGGAATCCACATTTTTTATCCAAACAGCCACAGAAGTTTAGCAAATGCAGTTAATTGAAGGTCATCATGGATCCCAGGTCCTGATTGTCCTGTTTAGGTGGAACGTCAAGTTTTTGTCCCACCTATGCTGAGAGCTATAAGGACAGACTCTATCCCAACAAATATTTCTGAAGACACAGCCATGAGGTTCGGTTTATTGCCTTTAATAGCACTGGGACCATCTGGCTTGTGTTATAAATTCTAAGCCACTGAGAAAATCCCTTTAAGGTGTACCTCTGGTCAGAGTTAGCTCTATTGTGCATTGCATTTAAAAAATAACCATAAAATCAAGACAATCAGCATGTATTCAAGCATAGAGTAACATATTTGTGAGACAGACACATTGGAAACTATCAATATACAGCTAGTTACAGCAACAAATGTCTACTTTGTCCTCATTTTTCTTCGTTTCAAGAGATTTAAAAAAGAAAAATATGTGTTTGAACTGCACAATAAGAGATTTACCTCTTCAGAGATCTGCAAATAACATAGCACTACACTTCAAAGCACATTTTAGGCAATGCTAGGTAATTAAATCCTGAATGTTGATGTGTAGCTTCTGTTTCTTATGTAGTCTTCTTTGGCATCCCATGTTCTTCTGACACTTGGGAGATTTCATTTCCCCATTCTTAACCTGATTGTTATAATTACAGTTTCCTATGCAATTTTATGCAGAAATACCCGAAGTCATCAGTTAAAATACTTTGCTATCCAGGGCACCATTTCTCCTAAAACCGGACATGTTGTAGGTTTTAACAGGGTAAATTTAAAACATTATTTTAAGCAAATATAATTACAGCTCAATGCATTGAACGGAGAAATTTTGCAAGAGATATTTTGAGGTAAATAAAAACCTTACCTCCACCTCCTCAAAGAGGATGAGCCGCACCAGCACAATGTGAATTGCATTGCCAATGCTTGGATCATGGAACAATCCTGTGACCTGTGCCAGAGCCAGGAGACATGAGATTAACTGATTCCTCTACAGTAGAACACAACTTCGGAGAGAAAATACATTTACTTCTAGCATACTGTTGATTTGAGGATTGATTTGCTTTTTAAATTCTCAAATCATTGAAAGTTTACTGAAATCCAAAAATATGACAACTACTGCAAAGGCTAACTCTGCCTAATGAATGATGATACAGCCTTTGGCTAAAGCTACTAAGCTAAAGAGCAAAAGCCCAAACAAGATAAAAAAGATTCAAAAATCTCTGAGTTCATAAAAAATACTAGCAGAAAGGAACACAACATCTACAGTCATACAACACTGACGGAAAGGTACATTAAGGGTGCAAATAAACCAGCATATCAAATTGTCCTGTTTTAAATAAACAGGATCCTCTCACAAAAAAGCATATTTAGTCAGTACTAGGCAAAGAGAAATTATTTGAATAACGGCTACTCTTGTATTCTCAGAGTACAGAAAAGGATGACAAGTACAAAAGCAAAGATAACAACTCCATTCAAAAAAGACTCCACATAAAAAGCAACAAGAACCGAACTCTGCAAAAATGTGACCCAATTGTTATAAACATCATCAAAATGTTGAATTAGGCAGGAGGAAAAGGAATCAGAGCAGAAGATAATCACAATGTATCTATACATATCTATGTGTGACCTACGCCATCTATCACAGGAAATACGGATGAACAAAATGGAATGTCTTTGGGTCAAAACCGTTATGGAGAAGATCACTAAAGGAGAAATACCAAAATGAAGTAGAAATTGTGTTTACAGAGGTCTGATTTGGATATGGATCTTTTTCAAGGTACTCTACTGAAAATTGAAACATTCTAAATAACCCTAATATCTAAGGTCAGACTGTCGAGTCTTGTTTGTTCCTGAACCTGATAATGACTGGGTTTTATTCCAGGCACTTTTCCCGGTGTGGACAAAACCTCACGTGCTCGAACAACCTTTGCACCTGTTTATTCAGGCTCATTGCCTCAGCAGCAACTTGGGGCACAGCTGGGAACATACTGCATAAACTCACAGGACAGATCAGTCACCATGGCTAGAATTACACTCTGATTACCTCCACAAATATTGCACATTTCCATGATAACCAGACAGAACACATCCTCAATGTACTCTCAAGCTCAATATCTACCATGATACACATAATATCGATAACAGGTATTAATAACAGAGGGCATATCTATGGGCAGATGTTATGGCTTTTCCCAGGACCACTTTTACTTGGAAACCTGCCACAAAGGAAAGCATCTGAAGTTCAACTTTTCTTTATTCCAATGTGAACTTTGTACTCCAAGAAGGATACTTATCTGGAAAAAAAGCTGTATTGGCTTCAACTGGGACAGTTAACTTCCTTCATAATAGTTCATATGTTGCTGTTTGGATTTATGACCAAAACAGTAACAAGCTGGTTTAAAAAAAAGCTAAAATGGTTTGCAAAGTCACTACAATTTCCAGCAGGCTCCCTGTGTACCTTTCTCATCCACAAATATGGGAAAGAATTTATCTCCTTAAAACCTGTAGAATTTCTCTCTGCCATTGTCAAAAATCTGAAATCACTGAGAAATAGGTTCCAAGGGGGACAGAATTTCAGTGAAAAGAAAGCTAGTGCTAGCATTTACAGCTATGAGACTTATCTCACATAAATTGAGAGAAAAATTGTGCCTACACAAAATACAAAGTAAAAAATTACTTAAAAATACAGAGTTTCAATTCATATATATTAATGATACTACACTTTTCTCCATGAGCAGCACTGCAGACCTGTTAGAAGATCAGCAGCATAATCAAATTCAGGTTTGCTTCATTCGCCTACTCACAAACCCCAAAACATTGCACATACCATATTCATTATGGTGAGGATATATGACTCCACATGGTCACTCCCATGATATTCAACCATTTTGCTGTCTGCCACCACAAGTGTCTCCACCCATCGCTCCTTGCTGACAGAGCGCCGGGAAACCCTCCTGGCAGCTCCGTGGTTTTGTTCCCATCTCTCCCTCCGATGCTGCTGCTGTTTGAAAAAGCTGTGGGTATCTGGAAGAGCAAAAAGCAATTCTGTCTTGAAAACATTTTCAAGATTGAACTGTATGGCTGTAAAACTTACAGCATGATATTAGCTGGAAGTGACTTTTCTGGCTGCCACCCACCTGACCTACTGCAGAGGCAACTCCAAAGGCACACCAGACTACCAAGGGCGCTGCCCAGTGACATTTTGAATTTCCTGAGATGGATTAAACATGCACCAAAAAGTCACTCCACTCAAACACAAGGGATTAACATTGTGAGACAGAGCCAAGCTAAAAAAAAATTGAATTGGGGATTGCCTTTTCAAGGAGTTTCTCTCCTGTGGTTTGGATCTAACATCTCCAAAGACACCAGCTGATAGTTTAAGATAAGGGATATGCTTTCTTCACAGGAGCTCATTTTCCTATTAGGATGGCACATTAAGTCCAATACATTCTTGGCACATCCAAGAATGCCTTGTTCTGTGCATGGAGAATATCTGTGACAAGTGGGGACATTTGACCAGCAGGTGTCATCTAAATACCAGCAGGGCAGCCACGGCATCCCTGCCTGCTGCCATCCTGCCCAATGACAGGACAGACACTGCTTCCACTGTAATTTTGGGATCTGTGCATCTAATGCTTTTCAGGAAGAAGTCTCTGCTCTGTAGGGTTGTTAGCAACCTTGCACTGTGTTCAGTGGGGCTAATGCCTCTCCACTCACTCTAGCTTTAAATGCCAGCTGTCCATGTTACCAGGGAAATACCAGCAACTTAAAATAATGCAGGGCCTAAAAACCAAATGAGATGCCAGTTTTACAGCAACTGCTGGCATTTTTCCAACCCATGCCCCTGAGAAATGCTACTACAGTGGTGGGATTTCCTGAGTCCTACAAAGGATCAGGAGCACTTGTTTATGTTACATGTATTGTAGCAGTCCCTTGTCATCTCACTCATGAAAGAAGATGTCCTGTTTCCAGATGGGGCACATCCACAGGCCAGAAGGGCAGTTCCAAGTGCTTACAGCCTTTCCAGCATCACCTCCATGACTGTGGGGCAGGGGACAGTTATCCAACATCACCTCCACGTCCAGTTCCCAGTGCTGAGGGGCAGCTATCCAGACACTCTGCCCTTGAAGAACGGATGACCTGGCAGCTGGGTCCCTTCACACCAGCTACACCTTTGTCATGAACGAGCTGTTTGCCCTTCAGATCCAAGCACAGACAGAACAATCATGGCATCTTGTGTACCTAACAAAACGCGGCACCACCGGATGTGTGTATCTCTTGGTGTAAAAGATGGTTTATATATTCAGGTTTTCAGAAAAGTGTTCTCTGACGTAAGCCTGCAAGAAGCCTCAATCCTGATAACACATAATGTGCGCAATTGAAATATGCCACATTAATAAACAAAATAACACTGACCACATTTAGAACTGAGCCACCGTGCTCAAGTGTCCTGTACACGACAGCAGTGAGCTATCACTGCTGTAACCTGCACCCTAACCCCGCTAACCCCCACTGCAGCACCACTCCAGCTGTCTCCCTCAATCTCTGCTCAGTTACAGCAATCATCTCCCAATGAGGGGCTATTTATGAGCTGGTATTCATTAACCTCCCTTGCACATTTGCACATTTTTCAGCATTCTTATTTCTATGAAGCACAGTTCTCATTATCTACATTTTTAAGGGTTTTGTGCTGAGAAAAACCTTCCCCACAGCTATCCGAACAAAAAACTCCGTTCAAACTGCTGGTTAAGTGCTTTGTTTATGGCCAAATAAAACCTCAGGCCAGCTGTCAGGTTTTCTGTTTACAGCTAGCAAAAAGTATTGTTAATTGTCTGGGCAGCTGATAGCAATGGAGGTAAAAATGTTTAAAGTCATAGAGACTGCAGTGGTGAACAGCCCTCAGGGAAATGTTTGGAGTCCTGGTTAAGAATGAGGCTCTGTATTGTATGAAAATCTGAGAAGAGGTGAAAATGAATGCCAGATAGCCAGAGGATTCTGCAGAAAGAACTCTCCTCAGTGATGGACAACCTCCTGTGCAGGTAGTGTCACCTGGGGAGATGACATCTAAGGATGGATCCCCACTGTATGATGTCTCCTGGCAGCTTTTTTAGTTAGACAAAGCAGAGAGGACAACATCTTGAGCCACACTAAAATACAGGCAGCTACAAAGGACAGTTCTAGTTCTGCCTTTATGTCTCTCCAAATTTTGACTGTCTATTTTAACCATCCAGCTGTGAAGTTAAATAACTTTACCTTCAATGAGAAAAGTGTTACAAGTGATTTCAGATTTACTGAGAAATCACAGGTACCCTGTGGTCCAGGCATGGAAGTCTTGACTGGGAGTCCACCAGTTCAGGACTATCCAAGAAGCAAGGAATGGCCTGACACTAGGAACAGTGCTGCCTGGGGAAAACCTCTTTTCCATCATAACTCCTGAGCACAGCTCATTCCACAAGAAACAGAAGGGAGAAAGGGGGTACTCCTACCCTGAGGGTTTCCATGGATTTCTGAAGAAGAGGTATAACACAGATAGGAATAGTGCTGGAGTCCTTAGGAACAGAAAAGGAATGTAGTGCTGAGAGAGTAGCCAGGACAGCCTAAGACTAAACAAAAACAAGGCTGGTAAGAGATTCAGGTAACAAACTACATGAAGTTCAAGCAGCAACACTCAGAAGTTTCTAGCTGTTGTGGGAGATAATTTTACAGATACGAAGCTTTCATTAGAAAAACTGATTCAGCCCAACAAGTAACATACCATGTCCTAACATGGATATGTGATATCCAGATATTTGACTGCATAATCAGAGGCAATGGTGTAGATTACAACATTTCATCAGCTTCTAGATAGAAATGGCTGATAAACTTCAGCAAAATAGTTGGGTTTTAAGATCAAATTCCAAATTATTTTTAGTGAAAATAAAAACATCCCTTGAAACTACCCTACAAATCCTACTTGACTAACGACAACATAAAAGGCCCTTAACTTTCAGCTACTAGGAAAGATTTTGAGTTATCTGTAAGATTCACCCATATAAGAAAAAAAGCAGTATTGCACAAGCTTTTTCAGGACAGTTTAAAGCTGCATGGTTTGTGTATGAGAAAAAAAGCTCTACCCTCTAACAAATCAATTTAATTTTTCATCAGGTGATAACATTCTTTGCCAGTCCTCTGTAAGAAAGGACCTTTCTAATCGTTAACTATTAGATGATCTCACTTTAAAAACCTCCACCTAAGTTCTTCTTGACTTAGAATAACTCACCCATTCAAAACGAGCTTGATTGTTAAGCAGTTAATGTCTGCTTGTCTTCTACCACTCCAAACTCCCTAAAAGAGCAAACATGACTCACCTCACTTAAAGGCATTATGTGAGATTTCCATACAACAAGGTTTTTCCCACTTTGTTTGCTGCTGGTGCTGCTCAAGGAAGAGTGCAGCGTACAGTGCAGCACAAGGGGACCTCCAGGTACTAACTACACATCACCAGCTTTCAACGCCTTTGGAGGTAGACAGGGCTTTGCAGAAGCAAGGGGAAAATGTCTGGAAGTTCCCAGAAGAGGAGGATTACTGAGTTGAAGAGGAGAACTCTCCAAGTGAAGACTGTCACACAAAATGATTTGCGTCTTCACTTTCTACTCTCAGCTCCCTTCCCTTTGCGCAAGAGCTCTGTCATTTTTGCCACTCTTATACTGTTCACAGTCAAAATACTACAGCCCCAGACAGGAGGTGTGAATGATGCTAGACGAATAAATTCCATACTGTTCATAACTTGCTACATATGACTCTTCCAAACCCTTACACTCTTCCAAAACCCTTCACTTTGTTCTAAGACATGCCGTTAGTTTAACTATTAACAAAATTACTTTAGGGGTGAGTTTTTCAAGAGGTCAATAAACTGTGTTGAAGCACAGTCACTGCACAAGCAATACTCTCCCTCACTCATAAGAAAGTGAGCAACTTTCACAGCTGATCTACTTACTACTACTAGCTACTACTTATTACTACTGGCGAGAACTTACTGATTGCTTACAAATCAAATTCAGCAAGCAATCCTCTTCCCTGTTCCCTCCTGAAATAAACAACGTAGTTTTCTACACACAGGATCTGCTTATAAACAGACAAAACTAAGTCTGGATGATGACAATGTGAGAGTAAGGACTCACATGCCATAATGGGAAAATTGGTGTAAAAATGGAAGCGAGCGTGTGAATTTAAAACTGAAGAGGTAATCAAACCAGGTGTTTTTACAAGCATTTCTAAAACAGGCCAAGCTAAAACACAAATGCTTTCTGAGTGTGAAGAAGTGTTCACACAGGAAACTATTACAACTCCTTAATCACGTACAAGCCCATGCTGACAACCCCCAGGTCCCAGCAAAAACAAGCACAGAGAAAGCAAGCTTACAACTCAGCAAGGTTTGTTTAACTTTGACATTCCTGCTGTCAAAAACACGGCATATCAAACAGTGAAGTCACACCACTCTGGAGTAGAAGGAAGCTAAACTGGACCAGTCTTGACTGATGCACTTAGTCAGATACTGCTGCTGAGTGTCTGCTGCTCATTAGCACTCAGGCTGTACAGATGGAATGATAGATGCACTGGGCATCAGGAGGTACACGGAGAGCAATATCGTGGGAGACATATGCCTGAAGTTGCCAATGCTCTGCATCAGTGATTGTCCTTCTGACTGAATGTTCTTATTTTTTTTTTACGTAGGAATTAAACCCAAGACAATAAGGGACAATTAAAAATTATAGCTGTGTCAGATGTTTTCCTAGGAGTACATTACTCCATGTAATTTGAACTTTCCATGTTCATTCATTTGGCAACTTTAGTGTTTGGTGCCTCTTATTTTAGTGAAAACATTAATGAAATGGATTAGAAGTGACATTTCCATGAATTAATCTAGCTCTTGGTAAAATGGCATCTCAATACAATTTAACTTGCAGCACAATTCTATTAAATTTTAAAGAAAAATAAGTATCATCTAAAACAAAATACACTCACTGTGAAACAAATTTGCAGAT